TGCTTTCCCCTGAGGCTGAGAGAGTGTGACTTGCCCAAGGTGACCCAGAGAGTTTTCTGGCCGAGCTGGGAATCGACCCCTGGTCTCCAGAGTCGCAGTCCGACACTCAAAGCCCTGCGCCACCCTGGGATTAATGGATGCTATTAATCATTAATAGCCATTAATAAATGCCATTAACTAATGAGGCTGATCATTCCTCCCCACCGCATTGATAGGTTCCCTTTTCCCCGGCGAGGAAGAACCAAGTTGGGGGAGAGAGTGACCGGGCCAAAGAACCCGGGACTACAACTCCCAGCATCCTGCAGCCAATGTAGCCAAGAACAATGGGGGACAATGGGGATGTTGGGACCTTTTGAGGATTATGGGTCTCGGAATCCCCCCTCCAACCCAGCATGGCCACTTGGAAAAGCCACCTTTGGGGAACTTAACTCCTCCCTTTTGCAAAGGGTGGGGGAACTACAACTCCCAGTATGTCACACTGCCACTCAGAGAAGTGGTCCCATTGTTTCGAACCGCTTTTATCTTTTAAATGGCATTTCATTTCTTTTTAATGAGTCATGCATTTGAAATGCTATCCTGAGTTTAATTCCATTTTGATGCCCACTTTTGCATGTTTTTAATTTAATTTAATTTTTTTAAATTTATAATCCTCTTTGTTTCCCAATTTTATAAATGAAGAACAACAACAACAACATGGGAGATGCAGTCCCTAAATGCACGACACCCCTTGAACAGCCCTGGCTCAATGCTATGGAATGCTGGGATCTGTAGTTTGGTGAGGCATTCAGCCTTCTCTGTCTGAGAGCTCTGGTGCCCCAACAAACTACAGATCCCAGAGTTCCATAGCACTGAGCCAGGTCAGTTAAAGTAGCATCAACCCGAATTATTCCTGCAGTGCAGATGTGCAGAGGCAGAGGAGCTTATTCTAGGGGCTGCTGGGAAGAATTACAAACTCAAGCCCAAAGAAACCAAGGGCAGAGGAAAAAGTCAAACCCATTCTCCCTCTTGATGCCAGCTGCCCCTTTTTTGGGTGGCATTTAGATCAATCCCTGCATGCCCTTCACACTCTCTTGCTTTTTCCTACTCCCCCTCCTCTGGGAGGCTAGCAAAAAGTCAGCCCCCCCAATAACCCCTTGCATCCTACAACTCCCAGTGGCCAAGGGTTCTGGGAATCTGGAGTGCTGGCATCCTTTTGGACCTGTGGGGCTGGCTGCATGCACACTGGAGAAATAACCCGCTTTAACTGCCCTGGCTCAAGGCTATGGGATCCTGGGAACTGGAGTTTTGCAAGGTCTTTCGCCTTCTCTGCCAGAATCTGGAGCTGGTTTTGCATGAATCCTGTGGCTTCATTTGAACCCACGATCCCATCCATGCTAAAGGGCGGGATATCAAAATTTCATGTGTGTGTATGTGTGTGATCATATTTATTTATTTTAATAAATATTGCCATAACAGTTTCTCAAATATGAAAGTGATAACTATGTGTTTATTAATTAAAATAAATAAATAAATACAACATTGACAGACTGATATTAAAATAAGAAATAATGTAATAAATATATTAATGTATGTATTGATAAATATTAAAAGAATAAACAGATAGACAGACAGATAAGATAGATAGATAGATAGATAGATAGATAGATAGATAGATAGATAGATAGATAGATAGATAGATAGATACGGTAGATAAATTCAAGGCTGGAATCCTGTTGGATTTACCTATGCAGGACTTAGACTTGGACACTTCTTTAATGGCTTTATCCGATAATAGCCCGCTTTTTTGTGACCAATGTGCATTTCACACCAGTGCACATTGCACACTGATGTGCATTTTCCACCAGTCTGCATTACACATCAGTACACATTGTGCACTGTGAACCATCCACATGACTGGAAGGTGCACTTTGCTTTGATGTGCACCAGTGTGCACCATACACCAATGCATTGCTCCAAATGCACACTTCACACCAATCTGCATCATGCACACTGGTCCAAATCTACATTTCTTTTTTTTTTAAATTTGATTATAATAAATAAAAACACATATCACACACTACAAATAAGACATAACCCCACCTCTCACCCCATACCATATCACCCTCACCCCCATACCCCATACATTATTCATTCTTTCGGTCCTCAGTCACAAACAATCCACACATTTGACTTCCTTTAACTTCTACTGATTAGTACATTGATTATGTTAAAGTTTTCTCTCAATATGTGAGTTGATACCTAAAGTATCTATTAAGTCTTACATGCTCATTCTTATTTCATCTACACCAAAAATCTTTTTTCCATCCATGGACCTTATCACACGCTGCTCTCAAAAGTGGCAAGAAAGCGATATGAGCATCATTCCAGTACCATAGCGCTAGTATAAATATGGCGCTAGCGCTATAATAGCACTATGGATCAGCTCGCGCTATTGCAATGCCCACTGAAACCGACATTCAAAAGAATGCAAATGATGCTACATTCCGAGCGGTTTCTCGCTGGATTCCGAGCGACGTCGTGTAATTGCACGGAGAAATATAGTGCTATAGCGCCTGATTCTTAGTGGATTCTGAGCGACGTCGTGTGATCACGCGGGAAAATATAGCGCTATAGCGCCTGATTCTTGGATTCTTGCTGCTTTTGGCCCCGTGTGATAAGGTCCCATGAAATAGCAAAACAAATTTCTTTATAAACTTTTCTTTTGTCCTCATTGACTATTTCTGGGATATCTAGTTCCGATCTATGTAATTCCTATCTTCTGTAAACTTTACTCCAAACCCATTGTCCATAGTTCACCCCATTTTATTCTAATGGATTTAATAAATGGTTTCCAAACTTGACCAAAGTGTTCCGATGATTTTTTTGGCAGCAATTGTGTTAGCTTATCATTTCCCATTAATTCATATACCTTCCATATCCAATCATCAATTTTGGGTATCATCTTTTTTTCCCCAATTGGCAGCATATATAATTCTAGCGGCAGTTGTCATATAAAATAAGAGTCTACCATATTCTTTCTCTAATTTCTCTTCTTCATTTATACATAATAAATATCTTTTTGGGTCTTTTATTATTGGCAAATCTACATTTCAAACGGATGCACACTGCACACGGATACACATTTGTCCCAATGTGCAATTTGCACCGATGAATACCATGCAACAATGTACACCAAGGCGCACTGGTCCAAATGCACACTTCACACTGATGTGCATTATGTACCGATGCACTTTAGTTCAAATGTGTACTTTGCACTGATGCACACTGCGCTTTGATACACATCGGTCCTAATGCATTCCAGGCAGTTCTGCCAGTGTGCCAATACTCATCTTTCCAGTTCACGAACAGGGTTTCCTCGTAGTGCTTTTGCTATTTAGCTAAATATACTTAAAGTTTGTTGTTGCTGTGTGCCTTGACGTAATCTCTGACTTTGGTGCAACCCTGATTTGACCCTATCATGGGGTTTTCTGGGGCTGAGAGAGTGTGACTCACCCCTTGGATTTTTATGAATGAGCAGGGACTTGAACCCTGATCTCCAGACTCAACTACGCTCCAACCACTACCCCACATTAAGTCAATACTGATATAGGTTTCTGGCGATAATCTTTATTTAGATTCTCCTTATTAATTTTCCAGCAGGGATATAAGCTAATTTTGGGGGGAAGCTCAGGTTTTGGGGATGAATCTGGCTCTGCATAGGTTGCAATCCTGCCCCCTGGGCTTCCCAGAGGGCCATATTGCCTCCCCCCTGATGGCACCCTCATGATCCCATTGAAAAAGGCCAAAAGGCCACCCCGAAGGCTTCATTGCTGCTGGAAGTTAAGATCTCGGAGCTAAAACAGGCTGAGGTTTTGGTCCCCATCCCTTTCGAAACCACTGGAATGTGTCCCTGGTAGAACTGGAATTCGGCTCTCTGTCTGAAAAAGGTTCCTCAATGCTGCAGAGGGTCATTGGGGGCATTTTTGCCATTTTCTGGAGCTTGGCAGCCCACTTCACCCCTTACTACCTCCCGACATTAAGCATAAAAGTGGCTAATCGCACGCTCAGGAGCAATTGAAAGGATATTTTTATGGCCCCTTTGCCTGCACAAATTGCTCTAAATGATAAGAAAGCAAGCTTTCTCAGGCCTTTTTACCCTATATAGAGAGTGCGGCGTAATGGTTTGAGTTAGGGTTCAAATCCCAGCTTGGCCATGGAAACCCACGGGGCAAGTCACATTCTCTCACCTTCAGAGGATGGCGATGGCAACCCCTCCTCTGAATAAATTTGCCAAGAAAACCCCATGAATAGGTTCGTCTTAGGGTCTCCGTAAGTCGGAAATGACTTGGGGGCACAAGATGACAACAAATATAATCATCCCTCTCTATCCACAGATTTTTTTTGTCCACAGATTCAAGCATCCACGGAGTGAAAATACATTAAAAATATATACATTCCAAAAAGCAAACCTTGGCTTTCTCATTTTATATAAGAGACACTATTTTACTATGCTATTATATTTAATGGGATTTGAGCATCCACGAATTTTGGTGTCCATGGGGGTCCTGGAACCAAACCCCAGCAGATACCCAAGGGCCCACTGAATACAGTTGTCCTCCACATTTGTGGCTTTGACTTTTGTGCGTTTGATTATTCGCGGTTTTGACTCCTATGTTCCCTCTAGGAATCTATAGGTCCTCCAGCGCAACTCTGCCAGATGTTGATCATAGAGTTGTGCTGGAGAACCTAGAAGTTCCTAGAGAAAATACTTCTCCAGGCATTTGTAGGTCCTCCAACATGATTCTATGATTAACATCTGGCAGAGATTGATCATAGAGTCATGCTGGAGGACCTACAAATGCCTAGAGAACTGTTTTCTCTAGGAACTTCTCCGGCACAACTCTATGGTCAACTTCCAGCAGAATTACATTAGAGGATGTAGACATTCCTAGGGAGAACATATTACTCAAAACCACAAATAATCAAATCCACAAAAGTCAAAGCCACAAATGTGGAGGGCCAACTGTAATAATAATTTTATACCTTGCCTATTGCACAAAGGATAAAATCGTCTCCTTTATATCGTCTGTACAACATCTGGCCCCAAAATCTTTTAGAAACAGGTCCATTCCAGAATCACTGGGGTCAAG